GCTGCCACAGGGCACTGCTGGACACGGGGCTTTATCCTGGAGCAGAGCCCTGTGGGGTCAGGGAATGCCTGGAGCTGTGCCAGGGGAGGTTTGGGATGGATCTCAGGAAAAGGTTCTTCCTCCCCAGAGGGTGGTTGGGCACTGCCCAGGCTCCCCAGGGCAGTGGGCACGGCCCCAAGGCTGCCAGAGCTCCAGGAGGGTTTGGATGATCCCCTGAGGGACAGGGTGGGATTGTTGGGGTGTCCTGGGGTTGGACTGGATGATTCTTGGGGTGTTCCTTCCAGCTCAGGGTGTTCTGTGGTTCTGTGAGTGGCTGGGGGGCAACCACGAGCCCTTGGCCTGTCAGGGAGTTTATCCCAAGCTCTCAGCCAAGGTCTCCCTGGCCCAGGATCCATCCCCAGCACAAACCTGTCTCACAAAGCCCAGTCCAACATTTCCAGTGTTTATCCAGGACTCAGGAGTGTCTCTGTCCCCAGGCACTGGAGCAGTGACCGTGGCCATGCCCTTGTTGAGCCTGAGCTGCCCAACCCTCCTCCCAGCCCTCCCTGAGCCCCAGCAGAGGGAAATCCCGATCCACAATTGTTGTTTTCCAACAGGAATGAGTCCAACCCAATCCCACATTTCAAAGACTTACCACATCCCAGGGTGGGTTGGGTTGGAAGGGACCTTAAAGCCCAGCCAGTCCCCCCTGTGCCACGGGCAGGACACTTTCCACCATCCCAGGTTGCTCCAACCTGGCCTTGGGCATTTTCAGGGATTCCTTGAGGTGAATTCCTTGAGTTCTTCCTTCCTGGACTGCACAAACAGCTTTAGAAATAAAATTAAAAAATCAGGAAGAGGAAGGATTTTTTTCTCTTCAGGTCAACCCAGACTGAAACCTTTCCCATTTGCCTCAGCAAACCAGGTTTTTTTTTTCTTAAGTGGCGACAATGAAAACATCTTGTTCTCCCCAAAATAAAATGTGTCTCTGTTTGCAAATTCATCTTTGAAGGCACTTGTGGTCCCCTGCCTTTCCTAATTAAAGGCAAGCAGATCTCAATTGGGGGAACACCACAGTGTAATAACATTTAATTTCAAGCATATCTCAAACAAAGCCTGCAGCTTTTCAGCCCCAAAATACTCCTTTTCTGTTGCTGTTGTTTGGTTCAAGTTGTAAATAATTTCAAAGGCACTAAAATAACTTTTATTTTCCCTACAAACAAATGTTTCATCTTAATTTCAGCTTCCAGTGATCAGAGCCAGATTCTTCCCAGTGGTGCCCAGGAAGGGGATAAGAGGGAAGGGCAGGAGCTGAGATAGAGAAATTCCCTTTA